GGCCGTGACGGGTCCCTTATCTTGCACTTGCAGGCTGGGGTGCGAAGAGGGCAGAGGAAGGGGCTGGGCGGGAGCCGGGGGAGCAAGCCCGGCAGTCAGCACTTTTCATCCGCTCGGGGTGGCGAGAGCGGAGGGGCCGCCTGCCAAAGCAAACTTCAGCCCTGACAATTGCCATTATTGTTAACACCGGTGCTGTGTTTCCACTGCTTTGTCCCACGCTGGGGCTCCAGGGGCACAGCATCCCCCTGTGCACGAAGCTATGGCCCCAGCCACGCAGGAGACCACCGTGATGTGTCCCCATGGTAGCGTGGGGCACTGGGCAGGGCACAGCCCCGGCAGCTACAGCCCGTCGGTGCGTGGCCGCGGGGGGGCAAGTGGTTCCTTTGGCAATCCCGAGTGTTTCAGACAACGTGAACTTCCCCAAGGAAGGGGGCAGCGTGGATGGACGGTGACATCTCTCTCTCTCTCCGCAGTGAACCCCTGCTGCTATTTCCCCTGCCAGCACCAAGGGGTGTGCGTGAGGGTTGACCTGGGAGGATATGAGTGCGACTGCACGCGGACGGGGTACTTCGGGGCCAACTGCACCACCCGTAAGTCCCTCTCACCCAGAGGACCTCTGGCACCTGCGGGTCCCCGCACCGTGTGCTGTGCCTGCAGCACGTGCTCACAGCGATGGTGCGGGTGGGCCAGGGCCGTTAGCGGGCTTCGTTAGCAGGGCGAGCGATTTGCCTGGTTGTCTCCCCCAGCCGAGCTCTGGACGCGCCTCCATGACCTGCTGAAGCCCAGTCCTGCCTTCTACCACTTCATCCTGACCCACTTCAAGTGGTTTTGGGACATTATCAACGGCACCTTCGTCAGGGACACGCTCATGAGGCTCGTGCTCACAGGTGAGGGGCTGCAGCGGGTCTCGGGCTACAGCAGGACTCAGGGGCTCCCCAGGCATCAGCAGAGGTGGGGGTGGCACGGCTGCAGTGATGTTGAGCCTCTCCCGTGGGCACCAGGCTAGAGTCATCCCATCACCCCATCACCGTGCCTGGAGGAGGCTGCCCGGCCAGGCGGCAGCGGGG